ATTCAGCCATTTGAATGCATGCATATTCAAATATGTTGTTAGTTTCTGTTTTGGCTATTGTTTTTTGAGTAGTCCATTATAGTGTACTTACTACATACCAAAATTTATACGCATTTTATCTTATAGCACTTACCTGACTTTGCGAAGTCCATGTACCGCCTCAAATATAACTATATGTAACTTTCCCTGAACTTTATCGAACATTTTAAGACCGAAATTATCCAAAACGGACAAGCCGTTCTCGAGTTTCAGTGAGACTAATAAACATCTATTAATTTAGATATACTTATAAGATAAAATAAATCTTTACCCCACCTTTATATGGTCTACGTTCGTTACAAAGTTTACTATCAGGCCACAGCAAACAGACAAAGCAACAACGTATTAAGACACCAAATTAACGTGTAACAAACGTGCAATCATCAAATCGAAAAAATCATAACAACACAATCGACATATAGGTAATAATAACAATAGAACCACGTACACACACTTGCGCAGTATGTTTACAAGCAAGTGACGTCAGCGGGACGCACAAAACAAAGTGCTACAATTAAGTGCGACCCGCTTCGTCGGAGTTCAACAGTTTTTCCGTCGTAATTCTATTACATTATTAACTTACACCGTGTTAAGGAAGTAGGGCTGGGTTATGTGTTTTTGACACACGTTGAATTTTTTTTATTTAATAGTGTATTTTTATTGGTAAGACTAATATACTTAATATTATATACATACGCGTGTCAGCACTAAGCATACGTACGTACGACTTTCTCATTCTAAAAGTTACAAACTTCCTAGTTTCATTTTTCAAATCGTGAGGTACATTTAAAATTAATATTTGTAAAATAGAATACAATTAATTTTACAATATGTATATTTAGAGAATTTGAAATTTATCTGCACACATTTTTTAAACAAACTCAACATTGAACTTATTGAAACCATTGTAACAATTTTATCGATATCGACACTCGATACTCACCCCACCTTAGCTTGCAAACTCTGCGGCGCGCGGCGGTCGCTCGTCGCGTTCACAAAGATCGCTAGCTGAAAACTTTTAATACTTTAACTTGACTTTCACTCAATTTCGCTTAACGCCTCCGTTGACACGCCTCGATGCCGTCGCGATATCGCCTTATAACTGTTTTACTATGACTTTATGGTGAAACTTGAAGTTATACTTCCAAGGATTTTTGGAACTGTATTTGATTAAATTTTATAATATGTTATTTAGATTTTTAGAAGTAAGTAACGTACGTTTTAAGATAGATATTATTATTTTGGATTAGGTATATATTATTGATTTTTGAAGCTTTTTTACTATACTTAAATGTAGTTAGTAATAATTGTCGAAAGGTCACAGCTCCCTGTTTACCACTTTGGTCAAAAGAAGTCCACAATGCCTTTGCAAAAGAATGTAAATGAGTCAAACCGTCCCAAAACCACCAAACAGTCCCAATCGAAGCCTAACTTAATAAAATACCAAAATAGATGGTCCCCAAAAAAAATTGCAAAAGGCGAAACAAAATAAAACCCCATCACGACACGACAAATTGATGTCATCCATCCCTCTCTTACTAACAGTCGCAACATATCACTCGACGCACGTCCTCGGCATTTTTCCTCTATATATTATTAATACATAAGTACAATCCGATGCACCGTTCCCCCCTTCGCGTGATGTATAGCTCTGTCCTTTTCTATATTGTTGGGTCTAGTTTTCCCAAGCGACCGAACCCCGAGGGTAAAACTCCCTAGGGTCGGTATTGACTCTACTGTAGAAGGAAAGTTATCTGTACACCTATTGTCGACCACCCCCCCTCTTCCCATCCCAGTTTTCAGCCCGTTCCACCCTCGACTTTCTTATGCGTTTTACGTTTTATTTTTGAGAATGTTTCTAGGCTCGAATTCATGTAGTTTTCATAGTCTGCAGTCGAACTATAAATATTGTTCTTATCTGTGCTAGCATATTTCTTTTTTAACAAAGGGTTTTTAAAAGTATTTTTCGGCCAACTATCTTAGCAATAAAGATAATATAGGTAACAGTTTTCCACAAAGCTAATTTCTATTAGTAACATGAGCCAAGCTTAACCTAATTTAAGGCTAGGTGCACACCGGACGCTAATTTGGTAATGCGCAACATCGCCACGCGACCAGCACGCGCTCCAACCGCCACGCGACAGATTGACACGACAAGACGATTTGTTCACTTAACTTGTTTATCGTGAGGGACAGACAAATATGCATAAGAATAAAAATGTCACTCCCGCCCTTTGTGTAATTCGATACTCAATCACATTTTCATAATAAGGAATTACAATGGTTATTCGTGTATCTCAAATCTTTTATTTTGAATCTTAGAATAAGTAGGTACAACAGAATTATTATGAGGATTATTTTAGTAAAAATAAATCTGTACAGTGTACTTGCTAATTATTTTACACTAATAAGTGTTAGAAGTTCATTAGATTGTAATAAACAGATGTAATAAAAAAAAACAGCAAAACTATTTCAATTTATAAAATTTTTTTTTCTTCTCCTAAAATAGACATTAAAATCAATCAAATAGAAAGCATGATTGCAATACAAATCCATACCTCCCGGTACAAATAAGTCCATCTTCACACCGATATGGAATGACATCCGGACCGACGCGTGCGACAGACGCGACACGTGCGCCGCACACGACGACAAACGAGCTCGACTAAACGCTCATTTAGATTATTGTAGCGTAATCTACTTAGTCGTATGGTATGTGGGCATCCTTATACTTCTAAAAAACAACTACTTTTTACTTAAAGGGTGTAATTTTGAGGTAAAAGCGTCCACTATTCATGCATAACAATGCAGGTACGCGACCTTGCAATAAATATCAATATGGCATTATCCGAATTAATGGATTTCTGTGATAATTTAGACACTACTAATTTACGGTGAAGGAAAACTTCGTAAGTAAACCTGGACTTAAGTATAAATTCTAATTATAAGTTTGAAATCGCCAATCCGTCTTGAGCAACCGTGGTGATTAATGCTCAATCCTTTTTCGTGGTGGCTCCTCTTCTCACGCAGTAGGCACTTATAGGCTGATGATGATGATGATAACGATAACTGTATCAAAGTGCACCTACTGGAGTTTATTATTAAGATCAAAATCGAACAAATAAAATATCATGTCGGTGTTAGTCAACAGAAATATATATTTGGTGTCGTGCCTTCAAAGTAATTAAGTATCCATTTATAACAACACCCTTTCCAAGCCTAATATTAGATCACCATAATTAATTTAAATGTACAAAATTGTTCGTTGAAAATGGGCGAGTCCATTCTAATGCTAATTTAGTAGTAATACGATCTCAATTCTTTGCTAAGTACGATTAGGGGTAGAAATAAACCCATGCATTATCTAGTCAGGTTGGACAATAGGGAATATTATCCATACAAAAATTGTTAGTATAATATTTCAAGTGGGGTGCAAAATGTACCATGTGTTAAATCACAATAGTTTAAAAGTGTGTTTTTGTTTGAGTCACAAATGAGTATGATGGATGGATTAAATGGACAGAAGACTGGATAGGTCATTGTAATACTTGCTCATCAATTTTGTTTTTCGACAAAATGTCTTTCCGAGTTACAACGAGTAGGTAGATAACCTCATTCGATAATTTAAAACAATCATTTCAAACTAAATGATGTTATTGAGAAGTTTTCTGGTATTTAAACATCTGTAGTAAGAAATAATGCATGCAGCATGAATCAAAACAAATATTTATAACACACAGAGGCATAAAAATCCAGGTCTAAGTAGACTACTTGAATTGTACATTCTTTACTACATAATATAAAAATAAAATCGCTTTCTCTGTTCCTGTATCCCTATATAATATGCTTAAATCTTTAAAACTCCGCAACAGGAATTGATGCGGTGTTCAACGTATAATCATCATCAATAGACTGAAAAAGAAGGTTTATATTAAGTATATGTCAACATCCACTAAATAGTCGCGATATAGGCGAAGCCGGAGCATTTCGATAGTAGGCAATAAACAACTTAAAATATGAGTTTTAAAAACGGATAAAATAAAACACCTTTTAAATTATTTTACGTAATTTAATCTCGTATTTTGTGATAATTTGTTTCATGAACGATTACAATTTACAATGTCTTATTTGATACACAGTTGCTTTAAACAATAATACGTCACTACATAATATATTCACGGAGTTTACCTCACAAAATACAATTCGTTTTGCGTGAATCTAAGCAAAGTGAGCCAGAGAAGAAATATTTTATTTTATTTTCGTATACATTTCATTTCGGCATCAGATTTTCTTTCGTTGTACAATATTACATCCCAAATTTCGAATTTACTGGATATGTATTGTTTCTAGATATGATCAATTCAAAATATTTCGATGTCCGAATACGTAACCTAAGCGCGAAAACAATTGAAACGCTATTCGAAATTTGAAAATCGAAAAATTTACACAATTACGTTAATTTAAAAATTTACAACGTCACTTACAATAAATATATCACAGATTTTACAAGAACAAAATCGACACACATTTATTTTACGGGTAAACGAAAACATAATCTTTTTACATGATAGTAAAATTCAAAATCGTCCTGAGCAGTTTAACGTTAGCTTTCGAATGTATATAAAATCTACTGCTACCGTTCAATCTAGCAACTCATCTATTGAATTTTATTTATAATTTAATAATATGTATAATATTTACACAAAAATTACAATTTTATTTACAATGCCGCATTATTCAGATTCTTGATTGTGCTGACCCTCTTACGGTACAGTCAGGAACAAAACTGTATAACACGTTATTTGACGGAGAATTATCATTCAATAACAAATAAAAAATATTTAAATAAAAACACATAACAAATTGTGCAAAAATCACCAACATACACATTATGTAATAAAGTTTAAAATGTCTTATAATAGAAACTGACCATCACCTTCGTGGGTCTGCACTGTTGTGGGCTACTTGGAAGCGAGTGGAGCTGTTTGAGCGTACTGCTGAGCGCTGCAAGTTGGCAGCGAGAACGGATTGACACTGAACGGTGAAGATACAAGACCACCCATTCCTGTAGACAGAGAAAGTAGGATCAAATTCTATTCTTCAAGTCCTGTTTTCTATGAAAACCAACGGCTAATGTTAATACCAATCCTTTCAAAAATTTATCAAATCACACTTTCATTACTTAATTAAAATAATATTAGAAATCAAGTCAGTCACATTAGACAACACCTATTTTTTAGTTGACTAGCTTTAATGTAAAAAATAAAATACAAATGCACCTAGCTTTTCGTCAACGATTAAAGGAATATTATACCTACTGTTACTGTTATTTTGTTCACGAGTGTACCGAAATAAGGAGAAGGAAAGCAAAATATACCAACGGCAAATAAAAAATACACTATAAATGGTAATAAAAAGCCAAAAAAAACCAAAATCGCAATACAAATTAAAAACAAAACTACTAACACTGGACGGCGAGGTGGTGCCAATTCTGATGGTGCTCATTGGCAACGCGTGGCGGGCTCTGCCTTACTACGGCAAAAGCGCTTCTCAGCTTAGTCTCTTTATTCTGAGCCCCTTTCATATCGTTGTCGGTGCATTTTGTATGAATGTTTACCGGACAGTCGTCCAGGCTTTTAGAGTTCCCATTTCTTTCACTGTAATGTCCGCTATCTTTCGTATTATACGCGTTATAGTGACGGTCAGATGATAAGTGTCCATTCATGTTCGCCGGATGGTACGGACCTAGAGACACTGGACGGGATAAAGAAAACAGGGGTTAACACAAAGCGACGTAAACAAACAGATGCCGTGCGAAGAAAGCGTTGGAACGTGAACTTAAACCTTGTTTGTATTGTTTAGCTCGAGATAAGCTGGGTAAGACATTTGCAGTGAGGATAAGGTGCATGTGTAATTTTATTTATAGAATTTTCTATTTCATTTTATTAGATAGTTTATTTGTGTGATATCGTTGCTTAGATTCCACAAAAAAAAATGTGTTGACAAAAACAAAAACTTGGACTTGATAACCCTTCAAAATGATTAGTTACTCAAAAATATTTCGAATGTTAAATAAAATAAAAATTATAAAGTTGCTAACATAATCGGTGCATGGTAGAGCACCGCCAAGTCTAACGAAGTTGAAATGTCATAATTGAATGTAGTAGGTACTCACGTGACGTGGTATTGAAGAGTGAGGTTGGCGGTGCGGGGTAATGTTGTGGATGCGGGTAGGCGGCGGGCGCGGCGTGCGGCGTGGACGCGGCGGAGCAGTACCGCGGCGATACCGAGCCACCGCTACGCGCGTACTCCTCTAAAAGAAAAAGCCTGGGATCAACACATAATGCTGTTAATTTTTGACTACACCTGGAATCGCATTATTTTGTAACGTGATTTGATGATTTATTGTCAAAAAAACTATACCTAAGTAAAACAATTATTTATAGAATCCAGTATATCTATAGATAAGAAAAAAATGAAATTATTGTCAGAACCCACCTTCAGTCCACTGCGATGCAGCAGTGTCTTGGACGCTGACAGCTAGTTGTCCTGTGTACGAATTGAAAGGCATACTGGCTGGCGGTGATCGAGGCGCGCCAAGCCCCAATTGGTTGTTACGAGGCATTGAGTACAGTGCCTCCGCCAAGTCCGCTGCTCGTTTTAAAATTATTTCCTGTGAGAGTAAAAATATTTATTCAAATATCAAAAAATAAATTAAAACAATTTTTCCAATTCTGTCAATGTTTGCAAAAGTGATCAATAAATAATATAATAACGCTAAAATTCTATTTTCATTCATAATAGATTCGAAAATATGGTTTACACAGATCGAGAAAAAAATACAAGGTCAAATAAAAACGAACCTTTGGTAATTTTTCCGGGTCACCGGGATGTCTTGGTATAAGTTTTTGTAGCCTCTGGAAGCCGTAATCTATCGTTGGCTCGTTCAACGCTGCTATGCGAACAAGAGAAAAACAAAATCAATCATTAGTTGGCCCACTAACAAATGAAAGCCTAATTGATGGATTGTATAAGATTTTCCGATGTCTCCTAATTACTGATTATTTTCTACGAAAAAAGTGCTTCGTAAATAATGAAATCTACGAAACGTGAAGGAAAAAAAAAGATTTATAATGTGTTCTTTTTTCGAACACATGAGTTTTTTTTCTAAATTATATGCTAATTTTACTTTCAAATTTAAAATCAGAACTGACCAACTTCAAAGAAATATATACAGCCAGTATTTATACTCACAAACATAAACAAATCTTCCTGGCGCCCCTTTACAGAACTGCTTGCTCTTGTACGAAAGCGTCACTTCCACTACACCGGGTATGTGACGCGGCGGAGTCTGCACTCTTATCGCGTGCGATGTTATTAACTGATAAAACATAACATTTTATTAATAATTATTTTATCCTTTGTTCAACACACAATAAAATTTATTGTTGGTGTTAAAAGAAACGACTTTGCTGACACTAAATTTCAAGTTAAAAATATCTTTATTTTTATCTGAGTAAGGTTCAAAATAGTAGAAACGTAAGCTAATATCTCACCTCACTCCATACCAGCATGGTTCCAAATACTACTTGGAGTCCGTCAAAGAAGTTGTCTCCAACTATGATTACTGTCGAGCCGCCTGACGTCCATCCTTCGCTTGGTGATATGGCCTTGATGCACGGTGTCGCTACTGGCAGAGGTGGATATAAACCTGCTGTCGAAAATATTATATGCATTAGTTTAGACAACTCTCTTGAATATTTACAATTTTTTCTCTTGGTAATAAAAATCAGTAAAACTTGAATATCCATAAAACAGGTTTGTTCAAACTTTAGGCTTATAGAAAGGGTACGTAATTTCAAAACTATGATCTACTTTCGAGCGATGATTTTCGTGATGTGATCGTTATTGAAGAGTAAAAATAAACACGTAGATATTGTTTGACTAACATTTTATCCTATTAGAGTACCACAAATACTTTCGCAACTCACAATGTCAGGCTTAAAATAGTTCCCTAACTTTCATATAAATAGCATTCAGGGTCGTAAATGGCATCTCCGTAGAACCGCGAAAGTAAGGGCTGAATCCTACAACAACTTAAAACTTGAACGTCAAACCACTAAAACTCGCTCCGTCCTACTTGAACGTACACTTTAGACTGTTCTAGAAAAAGGACAATTGTATACCGTAAAAGTCACCGTGTAAGTGTCACTGATACAAGTAGTAAGAGATCGGTGACGATAATTGAAAAAGAATTTTAACTGTAAGTAATAAAGTTCGTTATAGAACACAGTTTCTTGGTCGTTATGACTTTGTCAGATGCCGTGAGTGCAAGGTTTAGGGGGGACACGCGCTGAACAAGGGGGAAACTGAAATCTTGCGAACAACGTTGTAATAAAGACGGTAGAAAGTGAATTTAAGGGGACGAAAGGCGATTACTTCGGTGGTTCTTTTTTAATTTCACTAATATTATATTCTCCCCATTTAAGACGTTTTAATATTCCGTGAAAGGTCGTGAGGATCAAGTATTTATTATATACAGTTGTACCTATTTATATACGAGTACAATCAATTCTTTAATTTTGTTTAAGTAGAAACCTGTAATGGCATTTTTTTTAAATTTAAAAACAATACGTCAAGGTTGTGTTATCTTGTTAAACGATATATGTTACATCAGGCTTCCTTTCAACACATCAATATTATTTTTCCTAAGAAATGTATTAATTAGATATTAGCATTTATGGAGTGCATAAACAGATTAAATACTGATTTTGTAGTACAGTTTCAAGAAGAATGTTATTAACTAACTACATTTTGCCCTCGACTTTGTTCGCGTGGAATAGTGACTTTCTGCAGATTTTTGGTTTAAAAACTATCCTATGCCCTTTCTCGAGTTCCAAACCATATCTGTACGAAATTTCACACAAATATTTTCAGTAGTTTAGGTGTGAAGAAAAGACAAACAGACAAAGTTACTTTCGCATTTATAATATTAGTTTGGGTATATACTTAACTTTGATAACAAATACAATAAAAAATGAGAAAAAGCGAAGTTAGAGTTACTTAATTTTCTCGTTTGTACCATGTAATCCTTCCAAGTCGGTTACGCGTCGGCGTCGTCTAGTCAGTTCACAAAGTTTGTCGCTATCTTAATATGGAATAGGCTAATTTTGTTTAAGTTTAATATTATTTGTCCATACCCAAAATTGATAATTTTGAAGTCTAGATGTAAATTCATTATTATATGTATTTAAGGTTTTATTTGTCTCAACAAATTAGGATGTATGTTCTTGCATTGTTTGTTAAATTAAATAAGTTAATTATATATTATTTTCTTTTAAAAATATCTAAATGATGATATCATCATTAAATTAAATCATATGATTTAATAGGTTTATTTTAATCGCTGTTTTTTTTGCTACATACTATGAGCATGACTTGTAAAACAATAAATCAAAAGCACAGAATTCAAACAGCAGAAAATGATTCGGAACGCATGTACCAAGTTTGTGCGGAGCATAATTCCTCACTAAATTATCCCTATTCGCTTCATGTTCGCTTCAGCGCCCCCACCCCTGAAACACCCGGCTGAAGTTCTTTGCGAAATGTCTACAGTGATTCCTTGAATACAAACGACAGCTTAAAACGGTGTATTATGACTTTTGCACATTTATCGTCAATTGACTGCTGAAATTCACACGTGTTTACGGAAGTGTTGAAATATTATGTTACTCACGTAGTAACATGTAAACAGTACTTTATTTTCTGAACTAAACTTACGTTTTTTGTCACAAGCGCCTTAAATTAAAAACACTCTAAATGTGTACTCATAAAAAGAAAAACACTCTGTATGTCGTATGAAAAAAATAAAAAACAAAATGTAAATTCCACCACTTACATACGAAGAAAAAACCCCATGAATGATATTCAAGCACTCATTATTTCAAGTGAAAAATACGCAAAAACAATTTGATATTCACATATAATTTCCTTATAGTGGGTGTTTGAATATCACTCAATGGAAAATAATAAAAAAATAAAACATAAACGTACAAGTATTGTCTGTCGCGGCATCTGTACCTTCGCTAGGGTCTAGCCGTTTTGCCCTCCGGCCATGCTTGCTGTTGTTGTGGACAAACATATTGTCTGATATTGCTAGTAGAGGACCGTCCACCATGACTTGAGTTGATATTACCACCTAGAACAAAATAAAACAATAAAAATTTGGTTTGAGGTTAACATTTTTGCATTGGCGGTTAAGCGTTACAGATTATTGCGATAATTATGTTCGTTCGAAATTTAGAATTTCGATTCGTAAGAAAAATATTGCCTGATACAAATGCCTATTCATATCATACAGTGAAATACAATAATGAAACCTCCTGAGATTTTTTTGCTTGGCTAAATCTGTTTTATCGCTATATAACAAAAAAAAATGCCAATTTTAAATCACACATATGTATTTATAGACAAATCAACTGTACAGTCAACAGTCACAGAAATAAAACGCATGAAGATATACAACGCGTCTACATTTCACACATGAAAACAAACGCCCGCATTCCGACACACACCAGTGAAGGGACCGAAAGGGAGAGTCCCTAGGGAGGTGGAGCCAATGTCTCGGGAGCGACGAAATGGACGAAACTCTTCCAATGGGTATGCAAGGAAGTGCATTGTGTGCCTGTGTGCGTATCGATATGGACGTGTGACGTGGGTGGCCGATTGATAGACGGCCATTGAATCGATTTTTTTCCGCGCACTGTGCTTTGGGGTGAAGCCTAAAAATTCTGTTGGGTAAACAAATCGGTATTAGCTACCTGTGTTACTTTGTTTGCAATCGTTTCTCCGTTTTTTATAGCTTTGCAAAAAACCTTTTCAATACATTATAATGATGACCTTATACATAGCTTCATTAAAATTTGATCACTAACGAGTTACAAATAAAGTACAAACTGAAATACAACTTTAGTAGAACTAAAACACTAGCAAGTTTGACACGTAAATCACCTGGAATACAATATTCACGTCGATAAAGCGACTGCATTATTTCGATTCCGACACCCACCTATAAATATGTACGTAGTTGTATATTATACCCATATATTCTTACCCTTGAAACGGTGGGGAACGACCACTGAATTATTCAATGACACACAGAAAGCCCAAATATAGACATTACTACACACACGCACACAGAAGTTGTAAGTATTTCTGTTGCATATAGAAATGAACAATATGTGTTGAACGGTAAGTTCTATATTTGTTTAAAGTTGCCAGGAGGACACGTAAGACAAATATGTCTTAGACCAACTGTGGAAGCAAATTTGTACTCATAAGGAGACTGTGTGAATGCACCTTTTGGGTAGTTATGTTAGGGCTGCTACTAATTAGTTATATTATGAGCTACGAGATTTTGTGGGGAAGTTTTAATTGTGAAAAACGACTTTGTAGTTTGTGGTTGTAGTAGTGGAACTCAAGTGAATGTTCTGTTTAACATTTGAAGTTTCTCATTAAACATCAGTTAAGATGTTTTGTTTTAAGACACACTACTATAAAAGTGTAACATTTTATCTTCTATTTTATACACTTTTCACATTTAATCTTTTCAGAAACTTTTTTAATTTTAATTCAAAGTGAACACATATTGATAATTTTTAACAGGCAATACTTATCCATATTCTATCTAACAAGGATTTATAAAAAAAAACAAATCCCAAAATAAAACAGCATAACCAATTAAAAAATACAATAAAAGGGCAAGCAAAGATCGGTTGAAAGTAAATAAATAAACTCGTATAAATAAATTTAATTTCATCCCTCCCCTAAATTGGAGGCGCTTCAAATATTCAAGAGTCGTGAACGCAACCCTTCCTCCAGTTAAGGGCAATACAGACAGTTGTATGGTGCAAGGCAAATGAGAAAAAAATTGATACTTGTATTTCTTTTTTCGTATCTATTTTATTAATTTTCCACATCAAATTGATGAATAAGAACCAACTCAAGTTCAAAATTTAGAATTGTTTTTCTTCCCGGATTTACTCTTTGTGTACAGAAATGGCGATGGTATAGGTTCTTCTTGAAAATTAAAAAAAGATTTTTATTTATTTATCTAGTAAAAGCACATCTTGAATTATTCATTTCTAAATCTAATGTAATATGACATTACGTTTAGAAATATAAAAGAGAAAGTCGTGCTAATTGGACTATTCAAGACTCCAGGGTGGGAGAAGTTATTTAAGGACACCCCCTCCACCGTCTTTCTCCAAAAAAACTAGTGTATGATAAAATAAATATAAACAAACAAAAACATTTTTTTTACTATATTTCTTTAGTATGCCGTCCTCTTCAGCTTATAACTTGTTACAAAGTTCAGACAGACTCGCTTGAGATCGCGGCAATTTTTCGCCACGTCTTGTTTCCCCCAAGGTTACTATTAACTTATTGACAACACGCGACTAATTAACATCTACCATATGGTCACATCTTTTATACGTGTCATTATTCCCGTCCCGTCTTCAAATTTGATATTTTTTTTAATTATTAGGTGACTAGTTGGTTCATTGGTTGTAAGCACGGCTGCCGATTCAGGCGTTTTTTGATCTTGGCTGTCATTCCGAAAGACGTGAACATTTTTAGTACTAGCATGAAACCATAATGCTGCCTCCCCGGTTCACCATAAGACGTGATGTAACCTTTTTTACTTAAAATAGGGAACACTTACTTGAAATCTTCTCATATCTCTAGGATTTCCGGCATTCTTCAGACAATTCTGGTTACATTTCAGGAAGAACTTCAGGAAAAATCTGTAACAAAAACATTGTGATTATTATTAAAAATGGGAACGTGGAAACTATTTTGTTTAAACTAAAGGTTTTTGTATTAAAATCTGTCACAAGTATAGTGGGCTCGTAAAATATCGACAGGCGTGTGAACAGATAATTTGTTGCAAATGAAGCGGATACATAAATCAAACGTTGACAACATATAAATATAGATACAGTAGTTGGTTTCACTATTAAAATTTTAGTGTAGGGATTTTCATACCGTGTCTTTAAAAAAACAACAATAATAGGTACACATTCTTATACATATAGTTAGTAATTTGTGTAGTAGGCATAATAGTTTTTAATCTTATTTTAGTTTTATTTGCAGGCTTAAGCAGTAGATATTATAAATTATAATTTTATGGAGATGTTTATGTGAGACTTTTTTTAAATAATGATAGTAAATATATTTTGAATAATATAAAATCTATAAAATAATATAATATAAAATCCACATGATTAACAAATATTACGTGCAGTGGCTTTGCCCATAGTGCCAGAATAAAAAGTAGCCTATATTTTATTCTAGACTATAATCTATCTCTGTCCCATATCATTTCATTTTATTTTGTACAATAGTTTTTACGTGAAAGAGTATCTAACAAACGTCCATCCATACTACTTTTTGCAATTATAATGTTAATAAGATTTGTTTTATAACAATGTTTGAACTTGTTGAAAGTAAGAACAGGAGCAGCGATTACCTAACATGTAGCTAAACATCATTAGTATCCAAATGACTTCTGAGAACTTCGACTGGCTCAAGTTCACCTACAAACTTCGCCAGCTGTTTCCACTTCTATGTTACGCGAGCCACTTAAACGCTACGAATTAATTTGTTTCTCGTGTTTACAAATTTGTATCTTCCGCTCTTCCGTTCAAACTAAACTTTTTGCTCCATTGACGGCCAATGTGTGAATGTTAACTTTACGACTTTTTCTATTTTTTTCCACCATAAACGAAAAGTCGTGTGACAATTTAAAAAAGAATATGAAATAGACGTAAAAGACAACAAAACGCGGACCTAGTGCGGACAGCTACCAAAATCGGACTTCATTTTAGGAAATAAAAGAATGCGGAATCTACGTTGTTTTATTGGCTGTCAAAACGAAACCTCGAAACGGAATCAAACAATTTCCAACGGAAAGTCTATCGGGCCAACTATCGGCATATCGGATTACACACAATAGTCGAACTTTGCAATTTTATTCTGAGTCTTTTGTTGGTGTAGAGTGGTCTTTATGTCGTCGTCGGACGGTCGAAAAGGGGTGTTTATATAGGATGGTTGGTGCGTAATGTTGAGCGTACGATCAGGCGGGCGATCACGATGAATGCTTTAGCAGAAATATTTTACATAGCCTGAGGCACCGGCGATGCCGCCACGCCGAATATTGCTGTGCCAACACGTGTGGATTTAGTAGAGTTGTTAGACACCCCTAATGTACGTGATAAATTATTCGCGTTCATGAATCGTTGGCTTCTGTTTGACTTGTGAAATATGTTTTTTTAATAATCAACGTAAATAAACGTGGGCTGATAAACGGCATATACTGGAATCCTTAATAGTTTTTGATATTCATAACTACTAAAAGTCTAATCCAATATCTTTTAGTATCTAGTCAACCTAATTGATTGCCTCTGTCTACAATTCAGATTTTATTTTCACTAAATAAACCTCTTTAAAAAGCTAATTAGCTTCATAAATACTAGGTCATTATGATTCATACAGTCGTAACAACCACTCCATACAAATAGTAAAAACGTATCGAGATATGAGCGGCGGTTGGTACCGCGCGAACGTATTTGTGTTGCCCGCGGCGCCACACATCTGTTCCCGCATTATTTATGTTAAACACCTTATGTCACAATATTGCGAGTTACGACTTTACGAGTTTACGCGACTGTCAAACGACTTGCCGTGAATGGGGATTTTATTTTAAGAAATACAATGTAGGTGAGTCCTAGTACTCGATTGAGACGATCCGATGCAACAACTGCTAATAGATTATTGGATCAGTTTTACATTGAACATAGATTTGTTCTTAATTTTTTTTATACTGTAATATCCATAATAGACACACCTATAAGATATCGAGCCTTATAATTTAACATCCCAACACTCTTTTTCGGGGTTGCGGGGTAAGCGCAATGAGGCACCGCGACCTCGGCCTAGAGCAGGAGTAGGAACAGGCGGGTTTTTAGTCAGTAAGAGTCTGACACTTCCTCCCGCCTGACCCTGGGCGGGAGAAGTCATTTGATGATTTTCCCCTCACAAAAAAAAACACTCTTTTTGAACAATGAGTTTATATTTAAATAAATATTTTTTTAAGATGATGTCGAATTTTATGCGCTTTTACTCCGTAATAAATAATAACATGAAACATTTAGCTGAACAACCATATATTTCTTTTACCCCCAGTAAGACGTATCGTAAAAGTCCTCCCTTGGTCATCGAAAGCTCGCAACATTAATATCATTGTAAGGGCCACCTGACAGTTGCGTTATCCTATCGTATTGCTTTCGCGGTGACCGGTAAGCCGAAAAATTATTACCTTAGCGTAAATAGAATGTATGGGCCTCGGTGATGGGGTTGAAGCAGGAAATTAAAGATTATTTTTATATCTTAATATCGCAATGGGCGTTTTTTCGTAAACATTTTAGTATATCTTATCTTTCCATGCCAAATATTTATTATTTTAGTCAATACAAAATGTCGAAATCCAATTCATACAAATGTATTCAATATTACAATAATAAATACATAGAGAATATGAATAATATTTATTTTAATGTCCGTATTTCAGATTGATTAACAATAGAACAAAACATTAAGCAGATTTTATTTTTCAAAAAAAAACATCAAATCATTTAAAGATAGTTGATTGGAAATATCGTGTGACGTTAAGAATAAGTATATTTTATACTGATCTGTAAGGTAGCGTAACCTTCATTTCTTTGGTATTGTTTTCATATAAGATAAAAGATACGCTTCTCATATTTTATTAATTACCTATGTCACTACATCTGCCATCTGTGTCAATTTGAGCAAATTAAGTATTTATTGTTAGTTTATTTAGAGGTCATTATAATTCATCTCCAACACAAAATATATCATATTTTTGTAACCTTAAAGAAAACGTTAGAAAAAATAACGCTAAACATTTATGTAAACAACACTTCAAGATCAAACTTCCTACAAACTATTAAGGTTCATTTCAGTGAAACCACAGTTACCTAATTCATGCGCTTTATTGGTTTGACGCCTTTTTGCACAAGAGTCTATTTTAAAATTATTTTTTAGTTAAGCAAAAAAAAATGTTTTTTTATGGAATACTAAAGAATTAAGTAATTCCACCAAGTCTAATTATTGTTGCTTCAAAGCTGCAATTAAGGAAACCAATTTCCTGGAAAAAAAGAGTTTAAGAAATACTTCAGTACATTGTTACTTTACATATAGTAAGTAGGTACTTATACGAGTATGTATATGCCCACTATTCGATGGAAAAAATCTAGTACGGCATGAAGTCGCGGCAAAGAGCCGAGCCAGTAGGTTGCCCTCTTTCAAGTCGAGTCGGAACACTTGAATACCCCCTCCTCACACCACCAACCAAGCATAGACTATGTTTATTTGCATCAAATATTTCTTTGAAGAAATATTTCCAAAAAAAAAAATCCATCGCCTTTAATTTTTTTTATGCGTACCTACAAATTTACAAGTTGTCCTCCGAAGTGACGTAATTCATTCAAAAAGTTTACTTTTTTTATTTGGTAAAGTTTTCAGCGTTTCTTTTTAAGGTCATCAACTCTTCGATGGCGATTTGACTTGTTTGAAATATATAATATTCCTGTTGCTAACAGGATTATTATGTATTTTTCATTATGTGGGGATTCCATACACAATTGCATAATAAAATTGCAAAACGAAGATAGTTAAACAAGATTATAAGTAAATAGAAGATGGTGATAATCTTCATAACTAACAAAAACTATACCACACCAACAAAACGCGACGTTAAAGAAAAAATCGCTAAACCGCATACGAAAATCGAACTACGCAGATCCGACAACAAGCGGTCTCTTATAACTTTTCCCTTTTAACCTTTCGTCTCCCCCCGTCGCCCCGCGGCCCGCGGCCCGTCGCCGGCTCCCTCGGGAGGCGGTCCCCTGGGCCGGCATCGACTCCCCTGGTGCGCCCCACCCCTGCCACCACTCAATACCGACACGCCAAGCGGACGCCAAAGATTAAGCAGGTGGAAGGTGGTTCATTGAGATTTGTGTCAACCCTACGAATGTCCCATACGTTTATAGGAGTTGTGGAATGTTTGTGTTATTTTTTTTATTTGTTGTTGTTCCTTCAAAGGTTGAGCGTGGACTTTTTTTTCTATATCTCGTTTAAGTAAGGCAAACATATTCGCTTAACTTTGAAAGTCATAAATTACGATTTTTCTCAGTACTTAATGAATGTGGATATTGGGTCAATGTCAGTATGGCCACGAATAAATTTGATTAAAGAACAAAATTCTATTTCTTTTTTTCTATAACAAAATTATCTGATAAGACTGGAGTTTAGAAATTAAAAATTGTAAGTGCTGTACAGAATAATGACTGCCAACTCACTCAATTATCTATACATATACGGTTAGGTATATGTACAAATGCAAGTGGGCAAACTGAAATAAGCTAAGCTTGAAAGGATAGTCGCATCGGGAACAGCGAATTAATCTTTGAGTTACATGCGACGGGCCCATAACGGGCCCAGTTTTCGACTTGTTTTTCCGCGTACTTCCATAGCAGGCGTTAATATTTCAGTGTGTACCAAATTCAAGGGTTAACTGTTCCCCGTCTACGTTGACGGTGTAAATAGACCGAACAATTGAACGATTTCTATTGTGATTAAATAGGAACATGGCCGATTCAATGCATGTGTTGCGATGTTCCACGTTTAGTCTTTCTGTCATAGATATGTGCATAGATGCGTTGTAATAAGAATGAAAACTATACATACGTACTATGAATTAATTAGTAATAGTCAAGATCATGGTGGCCCGGAGGTTAAGGAGCCCGCTTTTCATGCATGAGGGTGCGGGTTCGAAACCTGGCAAGTACCAATGTGACTTTTTCCGGGTTATATGTACTTTCTATGATTATTTAGGCACCACTGACAAACGGTGAAGGTCAACATCGTAAGGAAACCTGGACTTATGATAAGTTTAAAATCGCCAACCCGCATTGAGCAAGCGTGGTGATTAATGTTCGAACCTTCTCCGTGTGAGAAGAGGCCTTTGCTCAGCAGTAGGCAATTATGGGCTGATGATGATGATGATGATGAGTCAAGATCACGTTTCTAGGACTGTTAACCTAGTAAATGACATGGTACTAACTGTCGCAGTGGGAAGCGATTGAATGGTGGCTATGTTAGATGATCAATCTAATCTTTGTTAAGTACCTACTTAATGGTACTTTAAACAAATGTTCTGGGACGATGTTACTTATTATCCTTCTGACCAACCATTTCAAGGTCGAAATATCAGATGTTTTTAAGTTTTGAACGAGGAGAAACATCACAATGTTCAAACAGATTTAATTTGATTGGCCTGGTGACGTGAAAGGTGTTGGGTACAGTTTTCACCGTTTTTTTTATCCGCATCAATAGTCTCAACATTTAATAAAATAAACGAATATCACTAACTAGCATCTAAATAATTATTCAAACAGTTTTAACATCCAGGAATTTACACTATAACTGTAACTGTTTAACTGTGGGAGAGCCATGCTTCGGCACGAATGGGCCGGCTCGACCGGAGTGATACCACAGCCTTACAGAAAACCGGCGTGAAGTAACCACAGCGTTGCGTTTCGCCGTGTGAGTGAGGTTACCGGAGGCCCAATCCTTCCCCTTCCCCAATCCCTCCTCAATCCCTAAATCTCCAAATCAATAAAAGGTCGGCAACGCACTCGTAACTCCTCGGTTGCGGGTGTCCATGGGCGGCGCTGATTGCTTACCATCAGGTAATCCGTCTGCTCCTTTGACGACTTATCACATAAAAAAAAATAACCAATTTTTTTATGTCTCGATTTTTATTTTCTATACCGATCTGACATTATAATACAAAGTCGACTGCACTCATCGATTTCGTTCCATGGTTTGGTAACTTTCACTTCTTACAATGGTCGGTATACATACATATCGGAGGCAGTAAATATAAAGCCCTGTAGTAGTTTTTCCAATGTGTCGAGTGAGGAGGGTAACGCGGGCGACGCAGCATCCCGCCGTCGTCATGGCAACGCGATAAAACCTCGCCTTTTCATAGCCCTCCGTAATAGTAAACGTTAGTTTCAAAGAATTTTCTTCGAAGGAAATTGTATGGTTTTTATGTTGGATGCATATTGTAGATAGAGAAAGTATATTGTAAGTATACACGACTGTTTTTGTTAGTGATTTTTTCACATCCTTTAGATGCCAGATCGATAGAACAACGAATTACAATTTCAGATTTAGGTATAAGTTGGCAAAAAGAAGAACAATACCATTATTGCGTGTCATTTATAACAAAATATATTCAATAGCTTATCCTAAATTAGGCAAAAATATCAAGAAATACGTCATTGGAAAAGAGACACTGAAGTTAAACACAATCTTTCTTCCACTTGTAAAGCAGTTTTCATACAATAAGAAACTACAATGTTCTTATAAAAAGTTATCTGGTATTCCCGCGTATACTATAGTAGGTACTCTTTCAAATCTAAAAGCGCTTGCTCTCGGAGCCGAGTAGTTTCCAATTGACAATGTACTACTGGTAGACGGGGCAATCGCTCGCGGCTTGTAAGCGCCTTTGCCCCCCGTCTGCCAGAATTCAGCTAAAATGCTTGTTGGAGAACTGCTCAGATGCTCTTGTTAGCTTTGATTATAATAATAATATGTATTTATTTGATAACCGTACCCAAAACTTCGTGGTTTTTTTGACAGATCTCTGAATATGCTGTCGTTTAGCTCGTGACTTTAAAATGATACAAAATATTATATGAAAAGATATACACATCACCAAAATCCAATTTTCTTTAAGATGTTACAAATAAATATCACCCACAATAACCTTTAGGTAACTTAAATTCTTCCTTATTTGCTTTAGTCAAGAAGAAAAATTACGAGTTGTTATTAGAATTATGAAAACTTCAATATTTTACATCAAAAATTACAGGAATCAATTATCAAGGTTAGCATTCACGCCTGTACTAATTATTATACATTATTCCCTTTAATATTCATAAGCTCACACTAGTGTAAAGACATGTTCACATACATACGTAGCTATACGTAACATTGGTCTTTCGTGCACAATCAACATACAAAGACAAGGGCCAACATTACGGGGCATCACTTCATTGTGGGCACCGGTCTAATTGTAACTACACTCTTGGGCACTATCAGCCGCTCAGCGCTCCGGCGGGTAGGCGTGGGCCACTAATCTTCAACCCCTACATACCAATACGCTTCAACACTCCCCCGAAAGAATACAGAACTTATCGCGAACAAATAAAGTCGAAATTCACTTGTGTAAAAAAGGTCGTATCTGCAAACGTAGCGAGGGATAACGCACACTATCAACTCATTAAATTGCATCGCCTTTTTAATGAGTCTGAAAGTGAACAAAGGATATTGAGCGCGATTACATTAAGTACCTAGTTGTAGTGTTAGAAACGTAAGATAGTGTTTTGTGGACTATTTTCACAATGTTTCCCGGTAACCGTTTTGTTGTTTAATGAAAAACTTTTAACATTGTGGCTGGATGTTATGCTGTGTTAGAGTTTTTATTTTTTTAATACTTTTATACAACAATATGGAATGGTATCCATATTGTTTTTCATCGTAGGTTAAAATGCCATATCATTTTATAACATACATCGAACGCATCCTTATTTTTTTCTTCAATAATTCGAGCAATGAGGTAAATTCAACTGAACCATATCGTATTTCATCTACTGCTCTGTGTTTTTTTTAACCTACAAACTAACTAATCAACTTCTAGAAACTTCGACACTAAATTCTACAAGAACTGACCGGACCCGAAAAAATATAATATAACGTCATCACGGATAGTTTCTCTCACTTACTTTTATGTAAATATATGAAACATTATTACTCGCAGCCCTCATATTTACGCAGTGAATATGCTATAAAGTGATATCACGTGATCGTTTTCGGCCGGGTAATAGTTATAAATTACCCGGGTAGTTTATAAAAGCCGGTTAACCCGAGGTAAGCGGACAAGGAGTATAATTTATTATTGGGAAATTCGCGGGCGCGTATTTTCATACGTTATGCGGATCACGCTGTACGAAAATTAAGCGGCTATATTAAGTGACTTTATTAACTGTTGTGTTTTAATTATTGTGAAGCTAAGTATTAACAAACTGATCAGTTTAATTGTCTGGATGCGATTGACATGTATGAGAGTGCGGATTCGAAACCTTGAAAGTACTAATGGGACTTTTACCGAGTTATATGCACTTGGTAAGTTTATTTAAATGCCTCTGACACGCGCTGAAGGAAGGCATTGTCAGAAACCTGGAGTTTTCATTTCTTTATATACATTCGTAATCGTTATTCAACCTTGAGCAAGCGTGATGATTAATGTTTGTTTAAAAACAATTAATTATTAAATAAATTATTGCGCAAGAATAGGCACTTATAGGTTCAACTTTATACACTTCCAGGAGACCAGAAGTTCTTACGTAACAAAACTGAAAGTCCAATTGAATGGGTTAGGTAGAAGAATTTCAAGGATCGCAGCAAATCTTGGTACTCTGTCAGTCAGTACTCAAGAAGGAAACAAAAAAGTTGAATAAAATAAAACAGTACTAGGTTAAAATGTGTGCCCGATTACAATGATTTGAGACTACAGCGCTGATTTTCAATGTTATTCAACCTTATCTAACTTCTTTAGATATCACACAATTAACAAAAAAACTTCTACCTAGTTTTATAAAAAAAAAACTATTCGTGCTACCATATCAAAACTACTCGATAATATTGAGTTTTTTGGCAGTCGAATGAAAGATATAGGAAGCTGCAGTGCGCAGTGTATCAAATCCATAAGAGGGACCCTCTGAGTTATTGTACGGGCTGTACACTCGCGAACACATTTTATTGCTAACATGTCATTTTTAATATAAAA